ATTATATATCAAATTATGATTTATTTGATTTTGACTAGACATTTTTTATTATATTAACAATATTACAATTTCTATTAATAATAATTGGCGGCCCCCCTGCAATACCGTCGCGGCCCACTAGGGGGCCGCGGCCCACAGGTTGAAAACCACTGACTTAGAGGATTCCGTTTCCAAGGTGAAGGAGAGTAGGGAGCTCACATGACAGAAAGAAAACTAAATGTAAATGTTTTTGGGAAAGGAAGAAAGACATGGACTTCACATGTAATGATTTCATAGCATTTGATGTTTACATTAATCAAAACAAAAGCAACACAAATATACAAAGTAAGTAAGGAATAATTGACGACGGGCCGTTGAATTATTAGAAAAATAATGCACACCCGAGGTGGTAATGCGGCCACGACGCGAAGCGGAAATCGTCTGTCATGTTGTTGTTTTTGTTAGTCCTGTGTGCTGTATAGGTACTGTATGCTAATTTCCGTTATTAAAGTTAACTATGCGAAGTGATATGGAACTGTAATACGGTCAAGAGAGCTGCCTGGAACTACGTTCGCCGTGCGTTTCCCTGAAAATAATTGCACACCTCAGAACGTTCGTCAGCCAATCAGATTCAAGCATTCAACGGTCCCGTAGTATAAATGAAAATAAGCAACAGGTGGAACAAATCAATTTAATCACCTGACTCACTCAACATAGACAGAGAGATGATCTGTTGTTTTAAGTCATAAAAGAACACTGTTAAACTTGTTGATTTCCTTGCTATATTTTTGTCAGGGTCAGCCCCCCACTGTGGTCCTTCCGTGCCCCTTCCCCGTTTGACCAGCAGGTGGTCTAGATAGTCAACTGTAAAAGAGCATCAATAGTCTAATGACTGCTAACACAAGTAACTGGTTGATCCAACAGGACCCGGTAAACTTGGGACTGCAGGCAAAAATATAAAATTAAACTCCATAGATCCTTCAGACTTCTGTGTTCTTCTCTCCCAGTAATACCTCCTCTGTGTTTGGTTCATTGTGATCAGCAGATAATGATGCCTCCATCTCCTGATTGTCATGTGATCCCTGCAAAATGTGTCAATTGTTACATTTTATATTCTTTTTTCACCAAACAAGTAATGTAGTCACCATGTAATGGTATTTACTATACCTACCTGGGTACAGGACGTATTTTAATGTGACCAAAGATTTAAAATGGTTAACAACCCAAAAATTATAGTATGAATGAAATACTCAAAAACTCATGCATACAGACTTTCATTGAGAAGCTAACTTCCTCATTCTTTTACACAAATGCACTGTAAAAACAGACAGGTAACTGAATCCTTGGATCCAAAGTGGAGTAAATGACAGGAACCCTGAGAATCTGAGTTCTTGTTCCTCTGTTTACCTCCTCTGTGTTTGGTCCATTGGGATCAGTGGGGGACAATGCTTCAGTCTCCTCATTGTCACGTGATCCCTACAGAAGTGACAGTATTAACTTAAATAGTTCATATTAATGGTTTTCATCAAACACAGCACAGTGACCATGAAGTGATATTAACCTTTCAGTTTACATTATATTAGTTTTCATGTAACCAAAAATTTATGAAATGTTGGAATTACAAACAGTTTGCAACCCAACATCTACAGCAGCTATTTAAGAATCCAAACTTTTAAAAATATTCATGATGCTTTTGCATGGAGACTGTTGGTTAGAAGCCAGCTTCCTACTTCTGAATCACACCGTTTAGAAATGACAGGTATCATCATCTAAAGACCCAGGGAGCCTCCATTACATTATCCCTGAGAATCACAAAGTCCCTGGATTATAAAAAGTCCTTTGCTTACCTTGTCTTTGTATGATCCAAAGGAACCAGATGAATATGACCAGTCTTCCATCTCCTGAGTGCCATGTGATCCCAAAATGAAAACATCTGTTAGTAAATTTACTATTGACAGGGCTAGTGAAACAGATAATCGACTGACCATAAAGTGGTATTTACTTTTCAGTTCATGACTAATTTTCATGCAACCAAATAAACTTATGGTCAACCAGCAGTCTACATACTTAAGTACTCATCAAACTCTTAAACATTCCCACATGGACAATGTAAGACATTAGCTTCCTTTTACACAGGTTTTGACAGATGTCTGATATAATGGCTATGGGCTATCATCATGGTGAATTCTGATGGACATTTTGACTGAAATACAATTTTTACCATTGACATGGCTTTTAAAATGTAGATTACATAGTTTTTTTCTCAGTCAAAACATTTTGCCACGGACACAAATGAGTCTTGCAATGGGGTATGTTTGTTGAGGCACAGGCTGGTTGACAGTCCCTGATAATGACCATGACAATGTAATTCATTACAGTAACCACAAGAAACAAATAGCATCAAATAACATCTGTCATGCATGTAATGCCATTGCCAGTTGTTCAGTATTGTAGAGGTTCAGGATTCTGAGTGATGTGTTTAACAGAGTGTATAAGCAGATTATCCAAGCTGCCAATAAACATTTTGTTTGTTTAATCAACCTTTGTCTGCGTTACAATTTGTGTTAGAATTTAGAAAAAAAAACTGAAAGTTTCTTTTTGCACCTCAATCACAAAGCTTTGGGGATTTAACCAGCAGTACCACTGCACAGCTTATGGGAGCCTGGAGCAAGTTCGTGAGACATGGATGGGTGGGGGGGAGGAGCTGCAGCGTTCTCCAAAGGTGAGATCTCGCCTGGGGGGAGGGCACGGTCAGGGGGGCTGTGGATGCTTTTTTTTTTTTCTGCGCACAATATACATTAACTCCTTTATTTACATTTATCTGAAGCTTTCATCCGAAAAGATTTACAGTAGAGGGAAGTGCTATAATTTAGGCGCTCCCTCCCCACAAGCTCTGTACATTAAGATACAGCAGTGATGTTGACACTATACTTTAATTTAACATTCCCACAAAATAATAAATCAAGCTCATGATCACGTAGTCATAAAATACGAGCAAATTGCATCCAATAATATACAGGACGGGTGCAAACTCTGAGCCTCATATTTCCCAAAACACTTTATTACACAACTGCACTGACAGGTTCAATAATAAAAAAAATGAACCAAAAATAAATGTTCTTATTTACAGCATATACATGGAATTTGCTACAATCAAAAAGAACAGTGTTTACAAATCACAGTATTTTTAATTCTTGGCTCTTTCACTATATCAATTCTTAGCCCAAAAATAAAGAAGCATTATTGGTAAACAAGTCACTTTATCTTTCCTGATGGCTCACATTATGAACTGTAACTACTCTGACCCGTTTCTCATTACTCATAGTTCCTAGTGTTTGGTTAATTGTCTATGGTTCTCATCTGTCCCTCATTTAGTCTCATTATTTATGTATATCTGTGCCTGCCCTTGCCTCAGTGAGTCATTGTATATTGAATGTGCTGTATGGTCATTGCCTGTGTGGTCGGTCCTGTGTGGTCATTGCCTGTTTTCCCAGAACCTGTTTAGTTGATCTTTGTGTTTGATTAAAGTCAGTTTAGTTCTTGTTTTATACAGTATCTCCCATCCCCGCCTTTGTAAAGGCCAGTTCCTACTTCACTTTTCCGCGTGCGCTTTCAGTTGCAGATGAGATGTGACGTAAATATCGTCATCAGGGGTTGGCTGCGGACAGCTTTTACAGCTTTTCTTAATATTATTATGATCAAATACCTTGATACTGTAGTTCTACACTGTAAAAAAAATCCATCAAAAAACAGAAAATGTACTGGCAGAAAATTACCAGCACATTTTCCGTTAAGTTAACGGACTCTTCCTTCAAGTCTCAAGGAAAATACTGTAAATGAAGTTTTCCACAGTTTGTTGTTCCAAGGAATATTTCTTAACTAATAGTTTATTTTCATTTTTAATTTTTCATTCTGCCAATGCAGAATTGTTTGTTTAATAAATGGTGTTGTTCACAAAACTACAAAAAGTAATTTCATAATATAGTAATTCATTACATTCATTATTTTTCATGGCTCAAAGGTCCATAAACATGCAGCTGTTTAGCTGAAACTGGATTTGAACCAGCAACCTGTGGATTACAAGACCAAATACTTAGGCTACTGAACCACCCACTTTCACTGACTTAAGTTGTAACTTTTCAAGTGGAATGAATTGCAACATAATTTAGCAGGACTGAAAGAAGGTGAGAGCTCCCCTAGTGGCTATGGGAGTGCATTTCCGTAGAGCAAATATTATGTGTGGCAGCCTCATTGCTTTTAGATCACAAGTTGGGATAGAAGAATGAATCAAATCAATTTGCTCATTTAAAATTTGATTTTTTTATTAGGCTTGATTTTTGGAAGCCCATATTTTGAAACCCACCGCAACTGAAAATGGAATGCCACAGATATTAGTCTCTCCCATGTATTACTAGATACGAAATATCCTGCAGTGATAGCTCTTAGGCTGGAGGTTTATATCAGCAATTTTAACATTGTTGGTTTAAATCCTGTGAATACCTGAAACAATTCTGCTCTGTTTGGTCCTTGAGCAATTTCTTTGCTTTGGGTGAGATCATCAATCATCATCCAGCCTAGTAGGAAAATTCAACATACAGAAATGAATGGGGGTCAGTGGCAGGATTAACAGTCCAGCCACTAGAAATAAGCCTGCACTCATCTATAGGGATGAGTATTGTGCTTGAGATTCTCCAGCTGAGATGGAGTATAAAAATATTCTGTTCTTTTTTTCCACTTTATAATCTGTGTCAATGAGCACTGCCTTGCCTGAAATGCTTTTTCTGCCAGTGCATTTTGTTTTTTGATGGATTTTTTTTTACAGTGCATGGATCTATTCCAGCGCTTCATCCAATACCAGGAAACCGCGGGTTTTAATCTTTAAGCTCCTCCGTTACAGCGACATAAATCTCACTTTGAAAGTTACTTTGAATGGTCAGGTTAGACTCCTGCATTCTCCAGACGAGGCTCGCCAGTTCTGCGATTCATTACCTCAGATTCGTGGGTCAGACTGATTTGAATGTTGTACACTGCCTTAGGTCAGCATGCATAGTTCGGATCTTTGGGGAAAGATTCTCTCTAAAAGTAACTCTTTTTTTCACCTTCAGGATCTCTTTACGATTATTATTTTATACATTATTCTAAATGATGACTATAGGGGTCATACTATCTATATATGTGTATAAGAGGCGATGTGTGGGAGCCATTGCTGATGTCACTAATTTTAAGTGGCGATTATGGCAGACTTAGGCTTGTTCTTTGCCTTGTCTGCATAAGAGATTCTGTTCTTTATAGCTCAGCACTGTCTGTTTCCGGGGGGAGTGGGGGGTGGATTGTTGGTATACATCTGTGGGTTTCTCATGTTTTTCATGTACACTTCCCTTTACCTTACTCAGCGTATCAAGCTCTAAATAGTCATGACTGACTTAAATGTTTTAAGCTGGAATGTAAATGGTTTAAATGGTTCCCATAAACGTACATGCTGTTGGATTTGTTAAGGAGGAAGAAAATCAATCTATCTCTAATGCAAGAAGCTCATTTAAAGAAGGATTATGTCCACAGGTGCAACAATAAATTTTATAAAGTGGTTTCATGCTTATCTGCCACTAATAAGACCAAGCGTGTTATTATTTTGATTTGGAGGAATTTAAATATTAATATTCTGGAGCATGGCGATGACACCGATGGTAGAATAGCCCACATTGTGGTATTAGTCGAAAATAGGGAGTTGGCCTTTATTTCTGTAAATGCGCCTTCTATGTATGATCCAGATTTCTTCCCCGTTCTAATGAGTTATCTTAAACTGTCTGACTGTGAAGTAGTGATGGGTGCGGACATGAATGCTGCTATGTCACACGAGCTGGACAGATCGGGGGACAGTGAGACTCATTCCCAGACCCTCTCCTCAGATTATCTTAAGCACTGTACTATATGTCTTCTCTTTCATTAGTATATTCATGGCATCTATTTAATTACATTAGCAAATGCATAGAGGACGTTACTGTGTCCAAAAGTGTCACCACGAGAGCCAAAGAAAAGCCCTGGATCAATGCAAAAGTTCGTGCACGACTAAAAGAGAGAGATGCTGCTTTCAGAACGGGGGACAGAGCTGCTCTCAGAACTGCTATGGCCAACCTCTCTTGCGCCATCTGACAAGCAAAGCGCGATTATGCACAGAAGATTCAGAGCCACTTCCACAACACTAAAGACGTGCAGCTTATGGCAGCGCATTCAGGCTGTCACTCAATACAAGCCTGCGCCAAGCAGCAGTGATGGGGACGCCACACTGCCTGAGGAACTGAACGAGTTTTATGCATCTCCAATCACTGACCAGGTCATCTGCCTGCCCACAGCCAATATGAGAAGAACTTTAACAAAAGTTAACCCACGGAAGGCTGCTGGACCGGACAACATTCCGGGTCGCGTGCTCAGAGACTGTGCTGATCAGCTGGCTGAGGTCTTCGCAGACATCTTCAACACATCACTGACCCAGATGATCATCCCAACGTGCTTCAAGTCCACCACCATCATTCCAGTGCCAAAGAAACCTTCAGTGACCTGCCTAAATGACTTCCACCCTGTTGCACCAACCCCCGTCATCATGAAGTGCTTTGAAAGATTTGTCATGGCACACATCAAAAGCAGCCTCCCCCGCTCACTGGACCCGCTACAGTTTGCATACCGGTCAAACAGGTTGATTGAGGATGCCATATCCTCTGCACTTCACCTCTCCCTATCTCACCTGGAGAAAAGAGACACTTTTGTCAGAATGCTGTTCATAGATTTCAGTTCAGCATTTAACACTATCATCCCCCAAAGGCTGAGCAGGAAACTGAGCGAGCTGGGACTGAGCACCTCTCTGTGTAACTGGATTCTGGGCTTTCTGTTAGAAAGGCCTCAGTCCGTCCGTATCGGCAACAACAATTCCAGCAGCATCAGACTGAGCACAGGCACGCCACAGGGGTGTGTCCTCTCTCCACTACTGTTCACTCTGATGACCCACGACTGCACTGCCATGCACAACTCAAACCACATCATTAAGTTTGTTGATGACACGACTGTAGTTGGGCTCATCAGCCACAACAACGAATCAGCAGACAGAGATGAGGTTCAGCAGCTGGATGTCTGGTGCTGTGAGAACAACCTGTCACTGAATGTGGGCAAGACAAAGGAAATGATTGTCGACTTCAGGAGCCAATCAGCACCAACGGCTCTCCGGTAGAGACAGTAAAGAACACCAAATTTCTGGGAGTACACATCTCAGACGACCTCAACTGGACCAGCAACATCACCTCCATCACCACAAAGGCTCGGCAACGTCTTCATTTCCTGAGATGACTGAAGTGGGCCAACCTCCCTCCCCCCATCCTCACCGTGTTCTACAGGGGCACCATAGAGAGCGTCCTGACCAGCTGCATCTCTGTCTGGTTTGCCAGTGCCAGTGCTGCTGACAAGAAGAGCCTGCAGAGGACTGTCAAAGCGGCTAGGAACATCATTGGAACATCTCTCCCCTCACTGCAGGAGATCTTCCATAAGTGCTGTATTAGAAAGGCCTCCTGCATCGTGCAGGACTCGATCGACCAGCTTTTTC